CTGTCCATTTACACCTGTGCTTATAGGCTCAGTTCCCTTGGGCTCTACTGGCTCTACTTGTTAGCCTAGGTAAAACTCCTTTGGAAACATCTCAGTCTTGTCTAGGGGGAACAAGGCATTCACTGTTCACAACCACACCTGAAAAGGTGGGGGTGGGGTGCAATGGCTGCTCAAGTCTTTCTGCTCCAGCCTGTGCAGTGCAGGGCCCGAGGAGCTCATGCTGGGCTCAGTATCAGCCTGAGGTCACATGGACACCATGCCTGTCACCACTCAGCTCAGCTGCTGGCCTGTACTGCTGGCCATGTGGCCACAAGCACCAGAGTTAATTCTCCAGCATAGCAGAGGATGTGTCCTGTGGCCTAGAGACACTGAGGCAGGAAGAGGGGCCAAATGGCCTGGAAGAGCCACAAGAGAGGCAGCAACTTTTGTCAACTCACCCTCACTTTCTGTCTGAGTTTCTAACTGTGCGGATTGTGGCTACCTGTGTCCCTCATCTTTTCTGCCCCAGGTCGCTCCTTTACCTGCCTGTGTCTCCCAATCCAATTACTCATGCTCTGGGGGTTCCTTGCTTTCTCCAAAGGAAGAAGAGTCATTACTTACCAGAGTAATTTTATTGCTTGTTTTATTTGACGATTCATTCAGAATCTGCAGGGTTGGGCTCTGAGGCCTACAGGGCCTAATGGGACTTGGGGAAACTGAGTTAGAAACAGTGGTTCAAGCCAGGCATGGTGGCTCATGACTGTTATCCTAGTACTCTGGGAGGTAGAGGCAGGAGGACTGTGGGAGGTCAGGAGTTCTAGATCAGCCTGAGTAAGAGTGAGCCCCCATCTCTACTAAAAATAGAAAATTTAGCCAGACATTGCGGTGGGCACCTCTAGTCCCAGGTACTAGGAAAGCTGAGGCAAGAGGATTGCTTGAGTCCAAGAGTTTGAGGTTTCTGTGAGCTATGATGCCACAGCATTCTACCCAGGGCAACAAAGTGAGACTCTGTCTCAAAGGAAAAACAAACAAACAAACAAACATTAACAAACCAGTGGTTCAGCCCCAGCTTGGCTCTTAGCTAAACTAAGTCTAATTTAATTCAACTTTGGGGTGGGACTCTGGGTCCCCCTTGAAGGGCAGGGAAGGCTGTAAGGAGCTGGAGAGTATGACTCATTCAGCTCTATCATCCCTGCAGGTGACCCACGGGCTGAGGGCATATGACGGCTTGTCTCTGCCTGAGGACACAGAGCCCGTCGCAGCAGGCCGGATTGGCTGGAGCTATTCTTACCTCTCTGATGATGAGGACTTGCTGGCTGATGATGCCTCTGGAGGTGAGGTCTCCATTTTGGGAGTGCAGGGGTGAGGGGTGAGATCAGGAACGGGAACTCAGAGACGGCTCTTCCCCCTGGTCCCTAAAAGAGACCCCTTGAAGTTCACCTGGAATGATCAGGACTTACTGGCAAGGTGGTCGGCAATGCACAGTGCAGGACTGTTACCTACCCTCTATCCCACCTCCTCCTTGTCCTCACCTGGAGGCCTGACCCAGTCTGACCTGACCTACCACCCCTGCCATCAGACAGATAATTGATGTCCTGAAGTTCGGGGCCTTGGCCCACACCCTCTCTGATGGAGGTTTCCAAGCTGACTCTCACAGGCCAACCCTCCCTAAGCATAGGGGAAGAGAGTGACTGTGTTTTCACATCCTTTCCCTGTATGTGCCAGGGGCCCAGAACAGTGCCTGGCACCCGGTAAGTGCCCAACAAATATTTGTTGTTACTGAATATGTCTCTTTTTTGCTTATAGATGGCCTGGGCAGCGGGGATCCGGGCAGTGGGGACTTCCAAATGGGTAAGTTTCTGAGAGCACCACAGGTCCCTATCCTGTCCCTGGGAAAGCCCCAGAGCAGGTCTCCCAGCCACAAAGGCTCCACCTCTTGGACTGAGGGCCTTGAGGGCTTCCTGGGTCTGCCCTTGGGCACACTGCAAGGAGAAGGGAGGTTGAGTGACAGCTGTGTGAACTGCTTGGCAGGTCTCTGCAGGGTTGGGCATGGCCAGTCCTGTATTTGCGGGGGACTGAGAGCCAGCCAGCTGATCAGCTGTTGGGTGGTGCTTGCTGAGAGCCCTCCTTCGGGGAGCAGATCTGGGGACACCAGAGCAGAACAGGGACTCTGTGGAATAGAGCATTCAGGCAGGGTCAGAATGATCCTCACTCTGAACTTGGGAAAGGACTCTGCCTTAGAGTCACTTGCTGGGAAGCCAAGGGTTACTGGCTTGCAAGGGAAGGAGGTCTGGACTTTGTGGAGAGAATGGAGTAGGCCTTCATCATCCATGTGGTACCTAGACTGGCCCAACACTACTACAAGGAGCTTGTCCTTCCACCTTGGGATTCTGAGAAGGAAGTATGCTATGGCGAGACCCAGTATCTCTGAATGGTTCCCATTGGCCTCTCCAGGAGCCAACACCTGGGATGCTCAGGGCTGAGGATGGATCAGGTACTCAGCTCAGACTAACCACCAGGCAGCCCCATGGTTTCCAGTGCTTGCCCAAGCCAGGAAGCCTTGGGCAAGTCTGGCCTGAGCCTCTTCAGGAGTAGAACCACCTCCTTTTGACTCATGTGTCAGGGGCATCCAAATGCCAGAGGGTGGCATCCTAACTGGGGCAGTGCAGACAGGAGGGTCCCCAGGTGACCTGGCCCTGCCTGTGACCTTCCAGCCCCTGGGCTTGAGCTGTGCCTGAAGCTTTTCCACATGTAGGTCTCCGCAGTGTTTCAGGGTGTCTGGGATCTGGGTGGGGACAGGGGTGGGGGTGGCATAGGCCCCATGTGCATACATGCTATGTCCTAGAATGGCCTATGCTAATGTGTCCCTGGGAGCTGTGTCTTGCCAAGCCAGGCCTGCTGCTGAGGCCCCAGTGTGGTCTATCCTGTCCATTCAGAAATATCTATAGCCCCTCCCCTGGGCCTACCCACTGCAGCAGCTCTGCATACGCTGAGTGGTCCTTGCCAGCCCACTTGTCCTCCCTGCGAAGCATCTGTGAGGGCAGGAGAGGCCAGAGGGGAAAAGGGATGGGGGTTCCCAAGACCAAGACTGCCGCCTTTCCTTCGGAGTGGGCAGGGGTGGGGCCTAGACCCTCCAGGCCCAATCCCTGGCACTGGCCTGGGGCCCTTGAGGCAGGTCTAGGCAGCTGCGCTGAATCGCTGCTGAGGAAGTAGCAGTTGTGTCTCCCTGACTCCCAGGGTCACTGGTGCCCAAGTCAATCTTGCCCAAGGGTGGGACCCTCTGGGACCCTCCCTGTGCTGGCAAGCAAGGGTCATGCCCACCATGATGGGGCCATGCCTGGGCCCTGCCAACTCCAGACCCTGGAATCTAGCCCCTGAGATGCTGAGATGGCCCTTCCCTTTCCCTCAGGCCTGACTATGGCTCCCCAGCTCTTCTCTAGCCCTGCCTGTGTGCCGGCACCCCTCCCTGAGAGCTCTGGCTCTGCTCCCACTTCCAGGGCCCCTTCCCACCTCTCCTCCCCTGATTTCTTTCCATCTTCTGACCTCTCTTTCTGTCTCCTCTGTTCCTGTCTGTCTGTCCTCTTCTGACACCTGTCTGCATCTCCCCATCCCCGGGGCTCCTCACTGCTTTGGGCCTTCTCTCTTCCACCCTCTCTCTCTCTGCCTCGTCCCTCTGGCTCCCTCTGTCTTTCTCCCTCTCCCTCGGCTTTCCATCTCTGCCTGTCTCTCTCTGCCTTTCCCTCTCTCCCCTCTGCCTTGCCCTTCACCTTTGTCTCTACTTTTTCTCTTTCTCTCTTCCCTGCCCGCCCCCCTTCCCCGTCTTTGTCACTTTGTTCCTGTCTCTGTCTCTCTCCCTTTGTCTCTGCTTCTCCCTCTGGTTCTCTCCTCTCCTTGCTATCTCTGGCCCTCTCGCCTCTGTCTCTCTGTCTCCACTCTGCAGGCTCAGGGCCTCCTTCAGGTCACCCTGGCATGGCTGGCATGGTGGTCTTGGAGCCTGATGAAGAGTCTCCTCTCAGTAAGTGAACCAGGCCAAGCCAGGCCAGGTGGGAGTACTGTTCTCCATCCATTTCCCCCAATCTTCGCTTCTGGTTCTTTCCTCTCCTTTGTCCCTGTTCTCTTCTTCTCCAACCTGCACTTAGCTGGAATCACACAGGAGGCTCAGAGGTGCAGCTCTACAGAGCTGGTGGCCAGGCCAGCCCCTGTCCATGCTAGGACATAGCCAGGCCCCATCTGGGTTCATGGATCTAAGCCCAGCAGGCTGAGACTGTGGTGTTCTTCCCCATGGGTACTGGTGGAGATGGGAATAGCAACCCCTCCGGGAACAAGGCCCCAGGTCTGGAGGCAGCTTGTATCCACCTCAGGACAGGCTGATCCTGGCCTATCCCCAGGGCCCTAGATGGACTCAGGACTGGAGTTCAGGGACCTGGGTGTGGGGTAGTTCTGCTGAGTGGTGATGGACATCTGAAGTTGGTGGGGTAACCTGCTTCACGGGTAGCGGTGGCCAGATGTGCATCCCTTACCCCCCACCTTGGGTATAGAGCAGCTCTGTGGCCTCCCTGTCCTCTAGCCTCTGGCTCTAAGTGTGCTCTCCACATAAGGTCAGGAGGGAGAGGGTTGGCCAGCACAGGCCCTCAGAAGGCACTCCCCCCCCACCCCCTGCCCCAGCGGCAGCCTTGCCTTCTGCCCCAACCCTCAGGCACCAGCCACACAGTGGGAGATGGAGGGTGCTTGCCCTGACCTGCCCCTGGAGGGAGAAGGGAGTGGGGTCAGGCTGGAAGGCCAGCGCCCTTCCCAGGCCCTAGGAGAAAGGGGCTTTGTGGAGCTCCAGCTCCCTCCCCCAGGAGTGGGCACATTCCTGGGCAGAGGGCCGGTCCTGGCCTGCACTGGGCCATGGGGCTGAGGCCAGGGGCTGGGGCGGGGGGGTCTGTCAATGAGCCTCTGTGCCAGCTCACAAGGGGCCTCTGTGGCCGAGCTCATGGCCCCCACGCTCCGGCCCACGGGGCCCCACCCCCGGCACCCAGGAGCCCGGCCCAGGCCAATCCCTCTGGTTCAGCATGGGCAGCGCCAGGGCCTTTATTTGCTCTAGACACAGAGGGGCCCATGCACCTGTGGGCCTGATGGACTGAGAGCAAAGAGGAAGGAGGACAGGCCTGGCGGTCAGCACAGCCAGTGCCCCTCCCTGTTTTGCCACCTGCACCCCAGTTTTCAGATTTTCTGATTATTCAACCTGTACGTGTGACTCATTTGCTACTCATATAAATTCATATTTATAACATAGGAACTCATGAACATTATGAAATATAAGGGCTTGTATAAACTATATTGTATAGAGTAGGTGCTTAAGACACGATGGTTCCGTGTATATGCTCACACCAGTCTGATAGGAGTTCATTCACTTATCACTTATGAGGCACCTACTACGTGCCAGGTACTAGTCAAGCACCAGGGATACAGCGGGGAATGAGATCTCAGGTTTCCCCTTATCAGGCTATAGTCTGATGCTGGAGAGAGGATGGCAACAGCTTCCAGTTCCCAAACTTGCTCTGTGCCGGGACCTCTGAACACCTGGTCCCTGTAGGCAGCTTATCACGTGCCCCTTCTAGTGACCCAGTGTGGTAAAAGCAATTATTAGCCCCATTTTAAGGCCAGGTGCAGTATTTCACGCATGTAATCCTAGCACTCTAGCATAGGCTGAGGCAGGTGGATTGCTTGGCTCAAGAGTTTGAGACCAGCCTGAATAAGAGCAAGACTTTGTCTCTAAAAAAAATAGCTGGGCATTGTACTGGGCACCTATAGTCCCACCTACGTGGGAGGCTGAGGCAAGAGAATCACTTGATCCCCAAAGTTTGAGGTTGTTGTGAGCTATGATGATGCCATGGCACCCTATTGAGGGTGACAAAGTGAGACTCAAAAAAAAGAAATCTTTTACAGAAAAGGTAATGGAAACTCAGAGAGGTGAGGTCAGTGCCTGAGGCATAGCTTCAGAACTCCCAATTGTCACTGTGAGGAGTACCAGGCAGAATCAGCAACACAGGGTGGAAGTTGCTCTGCAGCGGGTGGGGGACAGAGGTGTGTGCACCCATCAGAGCTGTCTCTAGCCCAGCCTGGGCAGTCCAGGAAGTCTTCAAGGAGGTGGTGATTAGCAACTGGCCAGGGAAGGCTGGTGAAGCCTGTCCCTGTCACATGCAGGTAATCTCTGCGGGACCAGTCTCCTCTGAGCTTCCTCTGAGCTCCTGGGAATCACCTCTTCAGCATCATCACTTGGTTTCTGGGTCAGACCATTTTCCCTGTTACGTGAAGCTCTTTAGTCCTGTTGGGCCTTGGCTTTGACCCCCGGGCAGGCCTCCCAGAGCCACTGTGGTGTGCACTCCCCCAGGCAGTGCAGGCATAGCTGTGGGCAAGCAGGTGTCTGCCATTCCCCCATTTCCACCCATTGGTCCAGCTGCCTGAGGCCACCGTGAGCCAGGCTAAGCCCCTCACAATGCCACCCCCTCCCTTTTCCACAGTTTACTTCCGTGCCCTGGTAAATTTCACACGCTCCATTGAGTACAGCCCTCGGCTGGAGGATGCAGGATCCAGGGAGTTCCGAGAGGTGTCCGAGGCTGTGGTAGACACGGTGAGGTGAAAGGGGTTTGGGAAGCTCTCTGATGTGCCAGGGCGGGACTGGGCATGGGGGAACTGGTCATCTGGGAGCTGATGGTGCTCTGTCCCTCCCCAGCTGGAGTCGGAGTACTTGAAAATTCCCGGAGACCAGGTTGTCAGTGTGGTGTTCATCAAGTGAGAAAGGGCCCCCTGGGGCTGGTGAGGGACTGGGGGTGACCTGGAGGGTTCTGACAAGGATGAGGAAGATGCCTGGCACCAAGAGGGGAGAGAGGAAAGGCCTGATAGGATGAGTCACTATAGGTGGGAATTCAGGAATGCCTGGCAGGGGGACTATGTGGACCTTAATTTGTCCAGGTCCAGGGCCTGAGTATCAGGACAGGGGCCTAATGTAGGAGCTGACAGCACAAGTGTCTTTCCTACCCACTTCCCTGCCCACCCCATCCCTAGGGAGCTGGACAGCTGGGTCTTCGTGGAGCTGGATGTGGGCTCGGAAGGGAACGCGGATGGGGCTCAGATCCAGGATGTGCTGCACAAGGTCATCTCCAGCGGCTCCATTGCCTCCTACATCACCTCTCCCCAGGGATTCCAGTTTCGACGCCTGGGCACAGGTGAGCCTACCCTAAGGCCTGGGGTCACCTCCAGTTTCTCAGATTCACATGGGTCTCCTGTCAGTGTCTCTGCCATGGGTGAGCTCTCCTAACTTGGGCTTGCCTATCTTTATGAGATCTTGACTTGGGTAGAGCACAGACTGTTTTCCTCTAACACAGGCCCATTAGGCCCATCTTCTGCTCTTTCTCTGTAGACCTCAATACACTGACAATAGGTAATAATCCTTTCCTTCTTTAGCACTTTCAAATCCAAAACAGTTTCATGGTCAACTGTTTATTTAGCATTAACTATGTGCTCTGCTGAAGCCCTTATATCCAGCCTCCTGTGCACACGATTCCTATGAAGTAGATTTTATTCCCCCCTATTATTTTATTTTATTTTTTGGAGACAAGAGTCTTAGTCTGTTGCCCTTGGTAGAGTGCTGTGGCATCATAGCTTACAGCAATTTCAAACTCTTGGCCTCAAGTGATCCTCTTCCCTCAGCTTCCCAAGTAGCTGCGACTACAGGTGCCTGCCACAATGCCCAGATAGTTTTTCTTTCTTTCTTTTTTTTTTTAGTAGAGACGGAGGTCTTGCTCTTGCTCAGGTGGATCTTGAACTCCTGAGCTCAAGCAATTCACCCACCTTGGCCTCCCAGAGTGCTAGGATTACAGGTGTGAGCCACTGCACCCAGCCTTATTCCTCCTGTTTAAAAAATGAGAGAACTGAGCCCAAACAGGAAAATCTGGATTTGTTCAAATTCAGACAGGCAGATAATGGAAAAGCCAGGATTTTAAACCAAACTCTGTGTCTTTGCAAGTCTTATAAAACCTGGGAGGAGATGAGAAAAGATTGAGAAACTGAGGCTCAGAGAGATAAGGAAACCCACCCACCCCCAAAGTCACAAAGCTGTCAGGGGCAAAAGCCTGCCCTTTGTGCCCTGTGGTGGGGGGCCCAGGTTTCCTTTCACTGCACCCTATCTCCTGTTTTGACTCCCTGAGACTATTTTTTCCTCTAGGCCTAGCTCCTTTCTCATAGCTGTGGTTCTCAGCCCTATCTTCATCTCAGCTCTCTCTCTCTCTCTGGGAAGACCCTGACTCACTAGGACTGAGAATGGAACAAAGTCCTTCCCTCCCACCGAGTAGCCCAGTCAGGAAAAAATAGTGAAACATCCCTTCCTTTGCTCTGTGCATAAAACCTCAATTAATGCTCCCAAAGATCAGGCTTGCTCTTTTGGTGTCCTCAGGCCCAGATCTAAAGATTGCTAGGGGTCCAGCCCTCTTCTCCCACTTTTCAATGAGTCCTCTTCCCTAGGGGTGGGCCTTGCTCAGGCCCACAGCCCTCAGCTCCCAGCTCCGGTGGGACAGCTGCTGATCATACCTTCCTTTGCAGCACAGACCCCCCCACCCCCTCTGGCCGCTGTGGCGGTTGCCTTGACACCAGGTGAGAGTGTAAGCCAGGCCCAGGCCCAGCTGGGTTCCTAGCAAAGTCACTGGGTGGAGGAGAAAGAAGAGTCAGGGCAAGTGGCTGGGCACAGCCCACAAGCCACTCTTCTCTCCTCCATTGTCCCCGCTGGGCCAGGCTGTGGCCTGCATGTGTGTGGTGTAGTGGTTGCATGCATGTGGCACATCAGCTGTGACGGGGGGCCATTGCCACATGACCTGTGTCCCACGTGTGCAGTATGCTCACCAGGTGCTTTTTGCCCTCACTTGTCTGCCAGAAACCAGTGGTCTGACACGGGGCACCAAACCCACACCCGCCTTGTGGTGCCTTTGGTGTCCATCGTAGCTTCTAGCACTTCGCCCCTGCTATCCCTGACTCCCTTTAATCCCCCTCAACACAGTGGCCCAGGTCCCAAGGGTCTGCACTGAGGCCGAGTTTGCCTGCCATAGCTACAATGAGTGTATAGCCCTGGAGTATCGCTGTGACCGGCGCCCTGACTGCAGGGACATGTCTGATGAGCTCAACTGTGGTGAGGGGCTGTCCTGGGGCACAAGTGGTCTGTGGGTGCTAGGGGAGGGCCTGGGTCCTGTGCCTGAGTCTCAGAGTCCATCTGGGACTCTGAGAGTTTGGTGCAGACAGAGGGCAGGGACGCAGGAAAGGTGATGACAAGAGTAGTCTCGAGGAATACAGACATTGTTGAGGAATGACAGACAGTGGCCTTGAGGAATACAGGGAGTGTGGGTGAGGGGTGAGGAGGCACCCCTTCCTCCCAAACACCAGGTGGGCTCTGTCCACAGAAGAGCCAGTCCCGGAGTACAGACCCACGCCACCTGTCCTCGTGAAGACACCACCTTTACCACTTTGGACAGAAGCGACCACCACACAGCGGCCACTAGACACCCCCTCTCCCCAGCTTCTGCGGCCCGATCTAGGCAGGCCCCTGCCCTGTGGGCCTCAGGAGGCGGCCTGCCACAGCGGGCACTGCATCCCCAAAGACTACCTCTGTGACGGGCAGGAGGACTGCAAGGATGGCAGTGATGAGCTGGACTGTGGTACGCACAGCTGGGGTGCAGGTGGGTGCAGGGATGGGGAGCTGGGGCGGGAGGGCACTGCTGACACCTGCATGGTCTACCCAGGCCCCACCCCGCCCTGTGAGCCCAACGAGTTCCCCTGTGGAAATGGGCACTGTGCACTCAAGCTGTGGCGCTGCGATGGAGACTTTGACTGTGAGGACCGCACCGATGAGGCTGACTGCCGTGAGTGTCTGAGAGTCCATCTAGTGTCCCTGCCCTGCCCCGCCCCCTACGTGCCCTTGCTCCGCCCTGCCTCTCCTTTCTCCGC